CCCGTCGACCGAACCCCGCGTAGGAGCCTTCGCATGAGAGGCACAAAGGGCGGTCGGGCTGACACGGATTTAGCCACGCCGGCAACGATAGAACGGAAAGATCCCTATGAGGAATAAAACTGAAGAGGAGTAAACATCGAAAGCACACAAGGATAGGGAAGGGACGCCTCAAGCGGTGAATTTATGTCAAAGTTCGGGGTATTCGCTCTTTTTTATTATTTTGTGTTTGTTTGTTTGGAAAATTTACTGTCGCATAAGTTTTTTTTTCCTTCTCCATTTACACAGTAAATGATGTCCTCCCCCTCACACAATAATAGTAATGGAAAATCCTTCATTCATCCAATTAAGAAATAAAGCATTCACCACATTCCCGTGCAGGTAGGGCAAGGTGCACAGGAGGTACGCATTTGCCCGCATCCTAAACAAACCCACACCACTGCCATTCCCCTTCGAACATCTTTTGTATCAGGTGGAAGGCTAAAGGGATTAGAGATACACCGCCTTCGTTGACCACTACCTTTAAAAAGCGTGAAATCATGCAAGTACGCATCCCATTTATCTGACATAAAATCCTCCGCGATGAGATATGTTTCTAAACTTTCTTTCCTGGATGCAGAAGGCTTGTGAAGATGAACTTGACGGAAAAACCTTCGTGTTGTCGCCAACACCTTTTCAAGATGTATTGAGCGCATTAGTTTCGAAACGAAAACCCCTCCCGAAGAGGACGAAAACGCGGAATGGGAGAGCTTGGAATTTGTAAATGATGGCAACGCCAAAGAAAAAGCTTTGCATGCTAATAAAAGTGCGCTCAATACCATTTGATTTTGCGCATAGGTAACGGAAAAGGCATGCTGACCTGCTACCACAGAAACACCGTCGTGCAGTACCACATCCACCGCACGATGCATAATACTATTGGGATTATTTGCATTGCTATTGGAAATAGTGCAAATCTCATCATTGTTGAACTTGAGAAGAGGGTTTAGCTGCTTAATAAGCTTGCGGTGATGCAGTACATTGCAGCGTAGGATACGTATCTCGTTCGCAATCGGCTCGATCGGTCGTGAATCCACCGCTATAACTAACGGCTTTAATCGATATAAGCGACTAATATTGTTTTTAATGCCAATGTTCGTACGATTTCCGATATAATTACGATTCATTCCCTCCAGGGCAACTTGCGTGAAGCCTCCTGGAGCGGCGGCGAGGTCGATGACGGTGCGGCAACCATCTTTGCAAAATATTTTGAACTTACGATCTAATTCAACAAGCTTAAAGGCCGATTGACAACGATACTTTGTCATCCATGAATAAGGCTCCCTTCGTTATGCATGAAAGGCGCTAAAAAAAAATACCTAATCTATAAAAGAAAATGATTGTAAAGAGAAAATACAAATATTTAAAAGAACCCTTTTTGAAATTTTCATGCGTTTTTTGCAGTTTTTCCCATAAATAAAACCGCATTGGAAACTCAACAATATTAAGCGTACATAAGGGGAGTGTGGGTGGAGACAAAGATAAAACATGATAAAACACACTTAAATAACATATAATTATATTTCTATTTATGTATTAGGAGAGACAAAAGTCCCTCTCTCAAACGGTGAAAAGTAAATGGCTACAATATATATGATGATATATAGACAAAAGATTTATCTATTTTTTTCTATCAAAAGGAAAAAGGTGGAAAAGGAATATCCAATCTATAAAAAAAACAAGTTCTTTAGAAGTTTGATAAATTCAAAATCTGAAAGTTCATTCCCGTTTTAACGCCAAATGTTAAGTATTTTGCTTGTTTTTTTCTTTCTATAAAGTTGTTATTGATATCTATAATATAGTGGATTCGTACTATGACGCTTGAAACGTGATTTCGTTACCCCAAAACAGAACTTACGCACTACAAGGAAACGCATAAAAATAGGAGAGGATGATTTGGTATTGTATCTGAATTTACAATCCTTTGCTTTCCTTTCCATAGCATGGTGTAATCTTTATAACACATATTCTTCCTTTTCCGTAAATAAAACACATCGAGTTGGTGATTTATACGTTGACAAATTATTTTCTTCCTCAAAGTGTCGATAATATTGATCAGTACTCTTGCTAGTAGATCGTCGCGCTTTTCTCGGCTTCGTCGGCTGCTTCATCCACGATATTTCCTCCATTGTGGAGCTGCCGCGGTGAATAATTTTATCCGGTGGAGTATACGGCAATAATAACAAGGAGGAGGAAGAAAATGAGGAAGAGCGGGATATCGATTCGGGGGGTTTTGAAGGGGCCTCACCATCGCCAGCCGCTGAAAATCGCAGTGTGGCGCTCATCGTATCAACGCAGGCGGAATTCACACTCCCTTCCCTTTCTCTCTTCTTCTTTTCGTTTTCTTCAACATCGCCTTGCGACTGAAGAACCTCACCCGAGCAACGCGGTAACGAAATGTGAGAAATGTCATTCGCTTCATAATTCTTCAAAATAAAAGAATTTTCATTCTCCCTCAAAGAAGATAGGTAACGCGAGTTAGAATGGCAGTAATAACCCTCCGAGGCGTTGTGAAACCAGGCGGGCTCAAAAGCATTTTCACCTTCCCTCGGGCGTTCTCCTTTCCCTCCTCCTTTTTGTGATAATAACAAAAAATCACCTTCGGAAACACACAGAGAAGGGGATGATATTTGTTTTGTGGTAAAAAACTGTTCAGGTTCTTTTTCCTCCTCTTCTATTGCATAACCACACACAGCCTCCTGAAAATCTTGCGCGAGATTTCTATCTATTTGAAAAGAGAATGTCGTAGGAAAGCATCCTCCGTCATGGATGTTGTATTTATTATCTTTATCCATCTTTTCATATTTGTGATATTCCTTTTTGACAACGCAAGCTTCTGTAAATGTAAATAATGATGCCGGTGGGTTGTGCGTAGTAATGGATGCCTCTCCACCTGCTAAGGAAGTATTAAAATGCGTCGTGCATGGTGTGAGCTGACAAAAAGATGTTGAAATATCATAATCAACAAGCGAATCCGCGTTAGTTTCACCCTTTTTATAGTTAAGCCCCCTTCCATCAACAAAGCGAGCTCCATTAGAGCTGAAATATTGATTCTGTGGGCCGTAATAAGTCGATTGCGTGTTTTCCATAGCAAACTTCGGCATGGAGTTTTTAATCGTTTGTGTGTAGTTATCATTGACCTTACCCTCCCTTTCGGTAGCGTCAGATGATGTTGTATTATAATCTGGTGTAAAACGAGTAAAAACAGTTCGTTTTTCCGTAAGGGGCGGTTGCAAAGGAAGTTCTGATCTATTACAAAGATTCTCCCTCAAGAATTTAACTAAAGAAGTGGAAGAAAGAGCATGATTATTAGTCTTTTCAGGTGGAGTACAGGATTGCATGAAAGCGAATTCATCAGGGTTTTCCCAGGAAGAATAGGAAGGCATCTCTATCTTGTGTGGTTCATGTACGGTGCTTTGTGAAAGAAAGTTACTCATTTCTGCTATAGTAAGCTAGAAGAGGTTTGAAAGGTTAACTGTATATACAGATACCTAAAGAGAAATATTCACTTGGAGTATTTAAATAAGCAAGTTATTTAAAGCAAATAATTATCCAAAAAAAAAATGGTAGCTTGTTTCCCTTTGTCCGTTTAATAAGGGACCAAAATATGTATATACTTGAATGGAATCGAGCTTCAGACCTTAAGACAGTATGTAGAAAAGGAAGAATACCAAAAGCGGCTTTATTTGAGAATCAACATTATATAAGTCAAATAGGTGCATATACCGATACGCCTCTAAATGCGTATCAATTTTTAAAATGTAAAAATAGTGCAACCAACACCAAAAGCAGCGATATTAATGATGATAATAACAAATGATATTTTTAAAACCCACTTCATCTTATCGCTTGAGCGCGCTGGGAGTTTACTTAAGTAATTTACCACGTTTTAGTGGGTCAACAACTCCTTTGTGAGCAAATGTCTTGCAAAGTTCTGTTTGTCAACTTTCTTCACAAGCTGTATTGCTGTTTATTGTGATGATTGAATTTCGTACTTCCAAACGGCTTCGTGATTCGGGTACTCGCAGTACCTGTTGAGGGATAAACTGAACCTGCCGAAAATGATGCCATGTATATGTAGGCAAGTTTGGCCTCCTTACGCAGGTCATCAGAATCCCGGGTGGATAAGTGCATAAAAACAATATCCTCTGCGATATGGTCACAAAGGGTAAAGTATAACAAATCACGTATCGACTTCGCCGTTCGGACGCTGCTTTTATTCGGCAGGCATTGCGCATAGTCAAGCACGGAGCCCCCACGTGGGACGATGAAAACCTTCATAGGGTCTGTGCGGTTGAGAATTAACCCGTCAGTGCAAGCCCGGCGTCGTGATGGGCTACAACATTCTTTTCAAAAGAAGAAAGCACCCGACTTCGGTGCTCGATTCCGGCGAGAACGCGGTCGATGGATCGCTCGAGGTGGGAAAGCTCCACGTGTGTGCAGCTCTCACGGGAAGTCAAGATGGCGGCTTCGTTGCACACATTGGCAATGTCAGAGCCCACAAACCCAGGGCAGAGATCACTCATGCGTTTAGCGTAGGCGTTAATTAAGGCACACTTCTTCTCGGATTTATCGCAAAGAATTGAACGGAAGTCAAAGGAGAAGTCAATAGCATTTGGATCACCAAGAGGATCTGCTCCCCCAGCTTGTTCACTTTTCACGGTGGCGATAGCGAGATGGGTTTCCTTTGAAGTCGCCGCGGTCCCATCGTCTTGCGGAGATGATATCCCTGCATTTTGACATTTCTGAGAGGATTCGTCCTCACTCAGATTAGGTTTGACAGAATCTTTTGTTTTGAACTTCTAAAGTGGTATTTACGTTTCCATTCTCCCCTGTCGCCGCTTCAGTCTCACTGTCCGGCACCAGCTTAAGCCTGCTCAAATGAACCTTGAAAATATCGATTCTCTCTGATATAACCGGTGAATCCACGTGTATAATTCGATCAAAACGTCCAGGCCGGATTAGAGCAGGATCGAGTGCATCCTGAGGGACATTACTAGAGGCTAGAACCATCACATCCCCGCGACTCCT